TTTTCTAACAAAATTGATTATCTAATCAAACCTAACTCTAAATAACCATGGAAAACTTTTAATCCGACGGACGGACCAACCGCAATCGGGTCCAGAGCCCAGACCGGACCGCGGCAACTTTGGCGTGCGGCAGTTTCCGTCACCGCCACACGATCTGGTCTTAAGTCCTCAGGTTTTCTATATTTACCACCAACTCCATGCCATTTATATTTACAAAAAAATCAGAACATCATAAAAAAAAAATATCGCAATTATTCTTATTTTGACACCACTTTTGACTTTCCCATCTCTTTTTCGCCAGTTCTAGCTCTCCTTCGGTTTTTTTCAATTTTTTTTCTTCAAGATTTAGACAGGTATATCTTCGCTCACCGATTTTCACCATATTTTTTCTGTTTTTTTTCTTCTTTTTCTTAATCCTGAGGATTCAATCTATGAATCTAATAGAATCTTATTGTTTTGCTCGTCGACGATCTGTTGATCTTGATTCCGATTCGAATCCTTTTGCGCTGTTTTGTTTCGATTAATTATGTCATGACATGAGAATGGTTTCTGTGGAATTGAAGCAATTTTCTTGCTTGGTACGAAAATTTAAGGGAAGACAATTCAATATACGGATGATTACTGTGATTGGAAGCAATTTTCTTAGGTTGTGATTGAATCTGTTGGGAAAGATTTGGTGCTGGAAGCCAAATGCAAAAATTTCTTGGCTTGTTAGATGATTTGGTGTTGGAAGCTATGAGATCTGTTTATTTAAAGCTTCGTCTCTTCGTTTGGTTTATGAGAAGCTAAATAGATAGTTTTCGAATTGATTGTTTCTTGATGCAGTTCCTGAGGAAAATTAAAATTATTTCGAATTTAAAATAATTTAAAATTTGGAATTCAATTGTTGTTGTGCTAAAGTTAGAATTGTGTGGTTTTTGGATTTGATGAGTTTGTATGTTATGTCTTTGCAGGGTGTTTGTTTTGCAATAGGAAGATGTTGGAGCAGTTGCTGATATTTACTAGAGGTGGATTAATTCTATGGACATGTAAAGAACTTGGAAATGCTCTTAAAGGGTCTCCAATTGACACTTTGATTAGATCGTGTCTGTTGGAGGAGCGATCTGGTGCAGCATTGTTTACCTATGATGTTCAGGGTGCTTCTTATAACCTGAAATGGACCTTTCATAATGAGCTTGGCCTTGTATTTGTTGCTGTGTATCAGCGGATCCTCCATCTTCTCTATGTGGATGACCTGCTCGCTATGGTGAAGCATGAGTTTGCAGGGATTTATGATCCAAAAAGAACAGACTACAATGATTTTGATGAGACATTTAGGCAGCTTAGGAAAGAGGCAGAGGCTAGGGCTGAAGAGTTAAAGAAAGTGAAGCAGGTGGGTAAGCCTATGAATAATGGGAAGAAGCAAGGGCAGGTGCAGAAGGTTGGATTGGATGGGGGAAGTAAGAAGAGTGGTGGTGGCTTGGCAGCTGATGGTGGGGATGGTGAAAATGGTCATAAATTGGAGAATGGTCACTCCAATGGCAATCGTGTTATGGTTGATGAATCTAGGAAGACAGATGTTGTTAATGCTAAGGAATATAGAGACTCCAATAATGGAGCTTTTGATGTAAGCAAGCTTCAAAAGTTAAGAAGTAAAGGTGGAAAGAAAACTGATACTGTAGCTAACAAGGGTTCTAAGGTGGACCCAAAGAAAAAGGTAACAAAGAAGAATAGAGTGTGGGATGATTCGCCTCCAGAGTCAAAACTAGACTTTACAGATCCTGCAGATGGAAATGGGAATGAGATTATAGAGGTTGTTCCAGCTGATCAAGGTGAAAGTATGATGGATAAAGAAGAGATCATCAGCAGTGAAAGTGAGGGTGAAGAAGATGATGATGATGTGGGGAAGGACAGCAAACCTGAAGCTAAGAAGAAGGGATGGTTTTCATCAATGTTCCAAAGGTAAGTGGTGTCTTTTTCAAGCATCATTTCCTTGTTATCAGTGTTATGTGTTCTGTGTTTTCAGTGTCTAGAATCTGTCTGTTTTCCACATATGAACTCTAATGCCCTACTTTAATCACATGTTTGGATTGAGGGAAATGAGGGGAAAGGAAATCAATACAAACCCTGACATTGTTCAGTAGTTAAACTCTACTTGAAATGTTTCACGGTCACTTTCTGCTGTCAATATAGTTATTTAAGTTAATGTCTTATTTGATTAATTGCCTCCTTAATCATGCACTCTTTTCTGTTCAGCATTGCGGGGAAGGCCAATTTGGAGAAGGCAGATCTGGAACCTGCTTTGAAAGCTCTCAAGGATAGGTTGATGACCAAGAATGTGGTATGGTTCTAAGTCTTATTTTATTATTATTATTTTTTAATGATTTTATCAATACATTTCTTTGTTTTCAACATGCTATTTGAGTTACCTGTTGTGATTACAGGCTGAGGAGATAGCTGAGAAGCTTTGTGAATCAGTTGCTGCAAGTCTTGAAGGTAAAAAGCAGGCTTCATTTACAAGAATATCCTCAACAGTGCAGGTTCGTGATTCTCATATCCAGTAGACTCATACCGTGTTTTTCTTTTTCTCCTCTTTTACCTGCTTTATATATAAGTCTGTTGTTAATTTTTTATTACAGACTGCAATGGAAGAAGCTCTTGTTCGCATTTTAACTCCTAGGCGCTCTATTGACATACTGAGGGATGTGCATGCTGCCAAGGAACAAAGGAGACCATATGTTGTTGTTTTTGTTGGTGTCAATGGAGTTGGAAAGTCTACAAATCTGGCCAAGGTTAAACTGACAGAGATCTTCTGTACATTAAATTTTTCACACTTCGAGTCGAGACCCAACTTTTGATTAGTAAGGTTAGCTTCTTTTTGACTGGCATTAGTTAGGTACTTAGATTAACTTGAAATTTCATTTTTCAGGTTGCCTATTGGCTTCTGCAGCACAATATTAAAGTGATGATGGCTGCTTGTGATACATTCCGATCTGGAGCTGTTGAACAGTTGAGAACTCATGCACGTAGACTCCAGGTATTACATTGATGTTGAAGGTTCTTGTTGTTGGGATTATTTGGGCTCTATATGTGCACAGGGTGGTCTGTTTTACGTACCAAAGATTGTCATTGATATGACTGGTTGTCAATATGTGACTTGTTACTTATTTCCCTCTCTAGATCCCTATATTTGAGAAGGGCTATGAGAAAGATCCTGCCATTGTAGCAAAGGAGGCAATTCAAGAGGCCACTCGAAATGGTTCTGATGTTGTTCTTGTTGATACAGCTGGTCGGATGCAGGTAATTTTTAAGGCTTTCTGTTAGTATCTTTTATGTTTATTGTTATCATTAGTGAGTGTCTGTTTCAGTTGGTGCTGCTTTTGAGTAGGATGCAGAAAAGAAAATTAATTTTATTTTTACTCAAGATAGCAGCAAAAGTATTAGAGAACAATTATAGGATGCTTGTTCTATTTTGCTTTAGTAATATTTAAATGTCTAGAATTAGCATCTTCTTGTTTACTGCTCTTTGTTCTTAAATATCTGTATCATTCATGTTAGGATAATGAACCATTGATGAGAGCTCTCTCAAAACTTATCTACCTCAACAGTCCAGATCTAGTCTTATTTGTTGGAGAGGCACTAGTTGGAAACGATGCTGTTGATCAGCTGTCAAAGTTCAATCAGGTCTGTCTTCATATCCGTCCTTTCTCTATTGCATTCAGCAAGCCTTGTAGCCATCCTATGATTATCCCGTTACATCTCTGTTATAAAAACACTGGCTTTTTCTTGCAGAAACTGGCTGATCTCTCAACTTCTCCTAATCCAAGACTGATAGATGGGATCCTGCTCACCAAGTTCGACACCATTGACGATAAGGTAAATGAGAAAAAGTGATTTAGATGAAAAAGATCCATCCGTTCTCTTTGGCTTTGAATCATTATGAACTTCTGGTGGTGTATAACTGTAATTGGTCTTGTAGGTTGGAGCTGCACTGTCGATGGTGTATATATCAGGAGCACCAGTCATGTTCGTTGGTTGTGGGCAGTCGTACACAGACCTGAAGAAACTTAATGTCAAGTCCATTGTCAAGACACTCCTGAAATGAGTGTATGCTGTCTTTGTTTACTCATTATGATTTGCATCCTACCTAAACTGTTGTGTTTCTTTCTTTGGCTGTGAGCGTGTGACACTGTGACAATGACGGAGGTGAATCAGCCCCTTGCGGCTGTAAGTTTGTGTTGGATTTAATAATTTCTCTACTACATAGACCATTCTTGTGTCCTTCTGAATTTAATTTTTCCGAGCACCATAGCCTGGAAAGGACTGAAGTAAAAGTTAAAATTCACTTTTTTTAAAAAATAAAAATAAAAACCTGGGTGGCTCTTTCCTCTATGTTCAATTTTTTTTTTTTTTTTTAAAGGTTTCTAATGAGAAAGTTTTCTTCCTGCATTTTTTTGGTTAGAATTGTGGAGGACACAATCTGGCACATACAAATCTGGAGGTGATTGAAACTTGAAATTATAAGTTTGTTAATGATATATAGATAAGTGAAAAGTATATATTATTCCTAACTTTTTAAAATAAATTAAATTTTAAATTACAAATTATGTTATTTTATTTAATTAATATTTAATTTAAATTTTAAAAATTTATTTTATTAAATGTTATTATTTAAATTTAAAAATTGATT